TAATTTAGCAGAAGCAAATTTTGATTGTAATTTATTTCTAAAACTAGTTTGAATGTGTCTACTTTTTAAGTATGCACATCCCATCACCAATATCAGAATATATGATTTCTGTTTCCAGCAATGCAGAGAGAGAGTTGGAAGCCAATAATTAAAAAGAACTATACTACCCGCCACCAAGAATTCAGTATCAGGACCTCAGAGGCTAAGATAATTAACACCACCAAGAAATAGTTGTTCCAGAATGACTTTTTCATTTCTCATCTTTACTAATAGAAAATTTAAATTAGATTTTAAAGAATCAGTTATTTACCACATTTTCTCAGACTTAATTACTTATTTCTTGATAATATGCTTTAATGAAGAGAACATTACTGATCCTTGTAAGTACCTTAAACAACTGGCACAAAACACTGGTTTCATATTCCAGAATTTGTAGATAATTTTAAAAGATTAAGCACAGTGAAAACAGATGTTTAATACCTACTGTGGCTAGTTGCTAAGGTCTTAACTGGCACACAATGATTTAGTCTTGAGACTATGGCTTGTTGCCACAATATACTCATCTGCAGATCTCACTGATTAAACAACTGAGACACAACTGCGTACTGTAGGAGCAAAAGTGCATGTGTCTATGTATGTAAATTTTTAAATAAGCTTTTAAAGATATATTTGTACATTTTCTTAAATCAAGAGATTTGGCAATACTTTCAGCTCAGTCATTATCTGAAAACATACTGTGGAGACTATGGAAATACAGCACTTCAGTACAGGAGAAAGAACTGTTAACCACATCATTCTGTATCCTGGTGCCTGTAATGTTTTCACTAACCAATTCAATTTTAAACAAGTACTTGTTCCAGCTGAACAGTTTACCATCTGCCAAAACTCTTTCAATGAAATAACACTTCAAATACCTGAACCGCAGACAGATGCAAGAATACTAGCCTCCCTGCGTTGCTGTTCAGTCACTAAGTTGTGTCCAGTTCTTTGCAGCCCCGCGGACTGCAGCACACCAGGCTCCCCTGTCCTTCACTATCTCCTGGAGTTTGCTTAAATTCATGTCCATTGAGTCAGTGATGCCATCCAACCATCTCATCCTCTGCCACCCCTCTTCTAGCCTTTTTGGGGGAGAGCAATGGGAGGAACAGGATGTATTCTAAAAAGCAACTCTGCATCGCTGAATTGGAAAGAAACCTTGCTGAACGATAACCCACCTCAGGAACTACTGAACTGCTTCGGAGGCTATGCTATGCATTGGTGCACAGCAGATCCTCAGTTAACTGTTTTGTTTAGTTTTAACTCATAAAAAGCAAAGTTCAGAATATTAATCTTTTGTACACAACCCCAACTACTACTAAACAGAGAAATGTGGCACATAAGAACGTTTTTTTATTTGGTTTGCTTTGTTAAAACAGTTTGATAATAAGCTTTCTTTAACGGAGGTCTTCCAACAACTATATTTATGTATCTAGAAATTAACAACAAAATTATTTTGTTTAATTTAAAAAAAATTTTTTTTAAACTTAAAACATTTTTAAGTTCATAAAATAAATTTCCACGTTATGCTCAAACTGAGACCTCCAGAAAGCAGAAAAGCTGAATCACAAGTAACAGATACTCAGAGAATTCTGCTTTTGTCATCCACTTTCCTGAATGCTCCCCACTTTTCATTTTAGCAGACTGGAAAACATACTGCTGATTACCATGGTGTCAACAATTTGGTTTCAACACCTTTGCGAACACTGCCATGCACTGCCCAAAGAGGCCAGAAAAATGTCATCTAGACAGTGGACTTTATTATACACTTGGAACACAGGGACCTGATACAGCCTACCTGCAGAAACAAAAACTATCTTGGCCTTTCAGACTGGACTAAAATGATAGTTGAAAACTATAATTTTATAAAAATATAAAATAATTATATTTTAGCCATAAAAATGGGCTTTTTAAAATAAACTAAGTTGGTAAAACATATAGTCTGCAACCCTTACCTTAAAAATACTAGAGTAAAGCTCCTACTTCTCTTTCACAGAATATGTAAATTTTACTTTAAAATTACTAATGCTAGCCTATAAAATTTAAGTTGAAAGTCTGACCTAACTTCTCCTGTCTGGTCAAAGAATACTGTTCCCTAGAGAATCAACAATCAGCACAGTACAACCCACAAGCCCAATGCAGCCACAGCCTATATTTTTGTACTGCCCACAAGTTGAGTGATTTTTGCATTTTTAAAGAGCTATAAGAAAAAAAAAATGCAACAGCTATTACTTGTGGCCCAAAAGTCTAAAGTATTTATCATCTGACCCTCTGCAGAAAAAGCCTGCCAGCCCCTGACTTTTATCTATGAAAGTTCTAAATGCATGTCCTGTTCCTACTAACTTGAATGTAACTTTCTCTTGTTCCCTGTTTTAAGTTCATGCTCAAGACCAAAACAGGGCATGAAACAAGTAGCTGCTGATAAACTACAACGAGGATATGCATATTCATCTTGCTCAAATAATAAATAAATAATAGGAGATGACTGTCAAAGTGTTCTGCAGAAAATACAGCTTCAAATTTTCACAAAAACTGGAGATGTAAATTAAAATTTATAAAAATTTACATATTATATTTTCTCAATTACTTGGAATAGTTATTTCAAGTCTTCTAAGAGCATGCAAATGTCAAATTAATTTCAAGAGAGAAATGAATAAACTTTTGAGAGATAAATCAACAAGTCCATATAATAGAGAAATCAAAGATCAGAAACTAAATATCAAAGCTGTAGTTTAGCACCATAAATTACATAACCAGATCAATAAAACAGGATATAAATATAAGAAAAGCTGAGGGCTAGAAGGTTAAGGAATAAAGTACAAGTATTTCTTTGTAATATATCACTGTATATTTTAATTCAATGATCCATAAAAATGTCTACAAAACAAATTCAGGTTAATCCACTAGGTATCACATACCTAGACTACCTTCCCTACCCCTCCCTCCACAAAACCAGTATAAAACCTAAAAATGTATTTTGAAAGGAAACCAGGTAGTCTTCTGATTAGTTATGAATGCTGTGGTATATTAGAATATTAATGTCAAACACTAAGAATCAGTATTACTTCTGAGGTAGTAATCACACAACAAGGAAAGGAGACACACTATTTCAGACTCTTGTATCAAATGGGAGTGGAGGACGACACTGCACAAGTAACACCTTCTTCTGTCCTTTATTACCTTTCCACTCCAGATGTGGGCCATGTACCAAAGGCAGCATCACCTGAGAGCTTGTTAAAAATGCAGACTCAAAAAAAAAAAAAATGCAGACTCACAGCTTCCAACCTAGACCCTAACTCTAATTCAGAATTAGAACCTGGATTTGAATAAGCAGCCCAGTTGATTCTTATGCATATTAAAGTATGAGAGAAGTACAGCTTTATTTGCAGCCCTTTACAACATCAGGCAAAGTCTCTTATTAGACTTTTTTCTTTCCTTTGTACAATGTAAACTAATATGTCTCCCAATCTAAAATATTTATTTTTAAAGTTATAAATAATATAAGTTAATAAAATGTTAATGGTATAATCTAGGTAGCAGGTTTGCAAATGCTTTCAGTAAAAATCCTTCAATTTTATATCTGAAAAATTTTCATATGAAAGTGGGAGGAAAAGTTACAATGTTACAATCATGTTTTCTGAGTACTTCCTGAGGGAAATCCAGGATTCTAGTCAGAGAAGACCAGTACAAACATGATAAAAATCAAACCTCTTCCTAGTCTTTGGGACTTGGGAATGCTATGAATAAAATCTTAATTCTTCCAAAGTAAAATGAAGTAATGTATATACCAAGTATTTCTGTAACTTATAAATCAGGTTTTAGAATGAGATAATCTGTATTATGGTTAAAAACTATAGTAATTCAGCTTTTGATTCCAAATGAAGACTTAGAATTTTTTTTTTCACTGTGTACCAAATCTGTACAACTAGAAAGTGGTACATATAATCTTCCACCAGGGAAGCAGACATATATATACTAGCTGAGTGATGGTTTACTTTTAAAATTTTTATCCCTTTACAAAATTCAGTGAAAGATCTAGATGTTTTTATAAATTTAACCATGTAATGTGTGTTCATAAATTTTCTTAACTTCTAGCATGATAAAGTTAAATTCCATGAGATTGGTTTTCCAGGCCATAACCAGACAAGGCCCCAAACAAATGTTCACCTTATATGGAACATACTAGTATTCCATCATAACATTACATATTCCTTTCTAGGAATTTATTTACTCTATATGTTAAACTCTTACTTCACACAAAGAGGTTAAATCATATCAATTAATTTTACCTAGGGAAAAAGTTACTTTTAAAATAATTTCTGAAATAAAATTCAGGATCAATCTGGTGGTGGTGTTCTTTTTTTTTTTCCAGAACAACACAGTAAATGAATAACGGAGAATTCCTATTTGCTTTCTAAATATTCTCCTGCCTTAATGAAAACTCCCCTGAAAAATATATCCTTTAAAAGAATATTCTAGCAAAGTAAAATTCTCCAAACACACAACATTTAATCTAGAAACATATGACATAATATTCTTAAAAGCACTTCAAAAATAGGAAACTCAAAATTTGTCTCCCTGTTCTTTAATTTTAAAAATAAAACAGTAAAAAAAAAAAAATTCCCACATTACTTGAATCCTGACTGTAAGATGTGCTGAACTGTTCAATGTGGAAAGAAACCAAAGCCAAAAATCATGCACAGACACTGGAATGAGGATTGCCCTCTCATACCCGTTAGAGAACATTTACCAAGTAAATACTGTTTTACTTCCTACTTTAGTATAATGGGAAAAAATTACAGTTATGCTATCAGGTGTGTACATTTATTAATGTTCATGCCTTCCTGCTCCCAAAATGACATTATTGGAATATACATTAGTAAATTGTGATTAATGATTAAAATCACTTGATATAGTTTGAGAGGACAGATTTGTTATTTACTGTTGTTTACAATTTTACTTACCTGTCTTGTCTTTGCTGATGTTTCAATAAAAGGAATTCCGTAACTTCTTGCTAAGTCCTGAGCCTGTTTTGTGTCTACTGTTCTAGAAGGCAAATCACATTTATTTCCTACTAGAACCATAGGTACATCTTCAGAGTCTTTAACTCTTTTTATTTGTTCTCTGGGGAGGGAAAAAAAAAGTTATAGCACAGGAGTTAGTAACAAAAATCTTTCAAAGCTGTTCACAACTTTGTCTCATAAAATATGGTGAAAAGGTTGTAAATGTAATTCCTAGTTCCCATCACACCAAATTTTCCTTTCTCCTCCTCCTACTTATTTTTCTCTATTCTAAACAGAACTTCTATGTCTTTTAAAAGATCAAATATCCAGAAATATAGTAGTACTACAGTCTAATAGGTTCATATGCGGGTAGGTCACAATGATAAAACAGAAATAATGAAAAATTCTAAAAAGTGCTATGCCTAATTTTTAAAATTATAATCTTAAAAACACATACTGTATATGTTGTTAAACATACATATATAGAATTAATGTTTTTATAAAAACATGAATTACAACATTAACATATTCTTAACTTTCTATTCTTAAAAAAGAGCATCTCAAGTGGAAAGATTTTATTTCTATGTGAACAATTATTTTAATAAAAGTAATCAAGTTTGAGCAAATTCACCAAGATTCTTTAAAAACTGTATTAACACTTCAGTCTTTTAACTTCAGAGTTGTGTTTTTTCCTTAATTATCTAAAGCCAATATTTATTTGAGTCCAAGAAATGCCACACTAAATGGTTTTATTTTTTAAAGGCTATTCAAGTGGCGCCATCTCAATTATCTTTTCACATTTTTGTTCATGATTTTCATTTTTATGATGGATCTAGCATAAAGCTTTGCTTCTCCAGTACAGAGTGGTTAAGAGCACAGGTTTTAAAGTCAAATAGGCCTGCTTTTCAATTCCAGCATCACCACTGTGTGATCTGGAACGAGTTGCTCAACTGCTCCAATCCCTAAGATTTCATTTGCAAAACAGGGGTATTACCTACCTCACAAAAATTATTTTAGTTTAAATTAGATAATTTGTGCATGGCAGTTAGCAACGACTCAATAAACAGAGATACAATTACTCCTCAATGTCAACTGATTTTATTCAACTTAAACCCACCTATAATGGTGAATATCTTCAAATGATTTAGTATTATTTATGGCAAATACACAAAGAAAGCCCTCCCCAGTCCTCATGTACTGGTCCCTCATTGCACTGTACTCCTCTTGACCTGCTGTGTCGAGAATATCCAAGAGACAGGTTTCTCCATCAATTACTACTTGTTTCCTGTAGGAATCCTGAGAAGGGAGAAACACAGTCTGGGTTATCATGGTGCACCTTTTACTTCTAAAAAGGTGTTATAGACACAACTCACGAACAAAAACCAATCCAATTCAAAACTGGGCAAATTGAATAGACAGGTCTCTAAAGAAAATACACAAATGGCCAATAAGTACATGCAAAGATGTTCAACCTCATTCAGGAAATGCAAATCAAAACGACAATGAGCTACCACTTCGCTCCCATTAGGGTGGCTATTTAAAAAAAAAAAAAAAGGTAATATAATAAGTGCTAGTAAGGATGCAGAGAAACTCGATCCATCAATTCCATTCCTAGGTATGTTAACAAAAGAACTGAAAGCAGAAACTCAAATACTTGTATGCCAATGGTCATAGAAGCATTACTTACAATAGCTAAAATGTAGAAACAACTCAAGTGTTTGTTGGAAAAAATGAATGGATAAACAAAATGTGGCATGGCAGCATGACTGTACATACACACATGTACACAAACACAAACACACACACAGTGGAATATTATTTAGCCATAAAAAGGAATGAAATTTTGATATATGCTATACAACCTGGATGAACCTTGAAAACATTATGCTAAATGAAGTCTGACCCAAAAAGACAAACATTCTATGATTCCATTTACATTGAGATACCTAGAAAAATTCAAGTCACAGAGACAAAAAGTAGGAAAGAGATTACCTGGGGCTGAGGAGAAGGGAATTGGAGAGTTATTATTTAATGGGCACAGAGTTTCAGTTTGGGATGAAGAAAAAGTTCTGGAAACAGACAGAGCTAATGGTTGTCCAATGTTGTGAATTTACTTAATGTCACTCAACTGTACACTTAAAATTATGGCAATGATAAATTTTATGTGTATCTTACCACAATTTTAAAAAAGTTTTTTTTAAAGTGTTATAAGAAGATTCAACAATGCAAATGCACAGAACGATAACAAGAAGACCCAAAATTCTCTATAAAGAAAAATAATTATTACAACATGGGATAGCTCTATCAACTCTTACTATTCTGGATGATTTAGGTGGCAAGAAAAACCAAGCAACTTACAAATAACTGTCGTGCATCTATTTTACCTATAGTCAAGGGAATTCATAAGAGAAGAGTCAATACTGAGAATTTTCATACCCTCCATAGTCCATTTCTACAGTCCTGGGAACAATATTTAACAGTCAGATAGATACTATGAAAATGCTAAAGAGAATGATTGTTCTGTCTGCAAATTCTGTGAGATCCCTAGTGAAAAAGAGAGGGAGTGGAGAAGAAAAGAGAAAGAGTTGGATATCTTAGAGACGCGGCAACTCAAAGAGGGAGTAAAGAAAAGCGGGTGAGTAACATAACAGAATCTTGAAACGAAATTTGACTTTCCTCTGACTTTTGATTAGCGTGTGTGTATCTACTCAGTCACTCACTCACTCGTGTCCACTCTTTGTGACCCCATGGGCTGTAGCCTGGCAGACTCCCCGTCCGTGGGGTCTCCCAGGCAAGAATACTGGAGTGGCTTACCAGTCTCCTCTCCAGGGGATCTTCCCGACCCAGGGATCAAACCCGCATATCCTGCATTGGTAAGCGGATTCTTTACCACTGAGCCACCTGGGAACCTTTTGATTAATCCTTATGCCTAAAAGATTTCACACAGTCTGCCAAAATAGACTTCAAAAAATAAGGGAGAGAGCTGGTGTAAGGTGAGGTCATAAGTATAAACCTAAGGACACTGTTTCTTCTTGTTCTACCTTTAGTTCATGGATTACTTTACAAACCAATCCATTATTTAAAAAGTGGTCATTAGAAATTATGTTTTTGGTAAAATGTTTGAAAAAATGTTCACAGCATACAGAGTATTCTAAGATACACATGTGGCATGTTCCCAGTATCTCTACACATCTGTATAAACATACCTACTACATATACATTAAAAAACTCATGGCAGTATGTATATTAATGTTAACAAAGGGTATGTCTCTGATGGAAAGAATTAATCTAAGAAATAATTGATTACTTATCTTTTTTAGGTAACATTATTTTTAATGTATTTCTTTCTTTGCCTCTTAATTTTAAAAAGTGTGAAAAGATTACCATATTAGACTATGATCTTGTGCTTATCTTTTAAACTGTATTTTCCAAATGTTTATAATAAAAAGCTGTTTATCTCACTAGTCAGAAAAAAAAATGATGAATATTTAATTATCCAAACAAGAAGCTCTTGACCAAAGATTTGAACATCTGGTTAACATTTTAGCCTAAGAGAGTTGGACACAACTTAGCGACTAAACAACAACAACAAAAAAACAAATTTCCTTAATTAACTACTTGAAAGAACTCCTGTATATTATAAATTATTTAATAAAAACCAGTGTTTTCAAAGTATAATGAAAGAGCAGGAATTGAAAGCAAAGTACAGTGTATTCAAGTCAATCCATTCATTACCCAAGTGTGGCTACTGAGCATGTAAAACAGACCAAAGACTTTTCCTCACAGTCTTCACTTGCCAATACTAGCACAAGTTAACCTTATGGTTAATAGTTTCTTTAGTCTTTGAAATTTCCTATCAACAATGAATTAAAGACTATAGTTTCTGGAGCCATACAAATCTATACCTAAGGCGTGGCTGGAGGATCACTCACATGTGACCACAGATACTGCCTCTAAAAACAAACACCTCAGTAAATTCCCATTTACAAAATTTTCAAACACTCTGTGTTTCAAAAGTATGTAATGTGGAATAGCAGCAGTTTCTGCATGTATTTCATAGCATGTTCCCAGGATGAACACTCTGTCAAAGAGACTGGGAAACTGGGAAAGCAGTCTCTATTCATTCCTATTATCTTTTCCCTTCTAAGCCCTAAAGATACTGACAGCAAAGTTCTGACTCACATTCTGCTATTGAAAAAAAATAATCTACAACCTGCCTATAAACAATGAGTGGAATCTGCTGATTACAAAGAATAGGTTTAGGTTAAAAACATAAACCAGTATTTCCCAAGTTAATTTTAACTAGAGTCGTCCTTAGAAGCATAACTAGTCACTGAGCTATATAAAAAGGCAATACAACTGGTAAAAATTTAAGAACAAAAGTGTTACATGGTGAGATGTGATCTGAAAAGAACTGACAGGTTTTAAGACAAAGCAGACAGCAAGCACAACAAAAATGACACGTGAATACTAGAGGGTTTGTTCCAGCTTCAGGGTAGCCCTAAGAAAAAAAGTATATGGAGGTAGGAAAAAATGTATGCATCAACAGAGACTCTTTCCCAAGATGAAAAGCCTAAATAAGCAAACTGCTGCCCACAGGCCAAATCCTGCTCACTTATTTTTGTGTGGCCTATGAGCCAAGAATAGTGTCTAGGTTTCTAAATGGTTGTTAAAAAAAAAAAAAGATTATGTGACAAAGAACCAAATGATGCTTAACAGAAGTGTGCCAACCCCGCTCTAAGCTAATAAAATGCCTTATCACAAATCTAAAGTACTCTTAACATATATTACTCCTTTTATTTTAAAAAAACAAATCATCACTGAGAAAATACAGGTTATAAAGCCTAACCAATTTATTTATTTATTTATTTATTTTTTTGCCTTATGTTCTTCTACAGTTTCTTTTTTTTTTTTTCTTTTTTTCCATTTTTATTAGTTGGAGGCTAATTACTTAAGCCTAACCAATTTAAAACCACATAAATTCCACAATGACACTAGTTAAAGACAAAGCAAGAAAAGGAATAAGACTACATTTCTAATTAGTGTTATTTCCAAAATAATACTAATAATATAGAATAAACTTTTAGATCAGGTACATATGTTACTAACATCCTCTGGAAACTAGGATAAAAGAAAGTCACTTAAAAACTAACTCAACACAATAAAATGATAAATGAGAGAAAGTAATTCCATAATTTCCCCTTATTCCCAGCTAAAGTACTATTGTTTAAATTTAAACAAGAAAAACTTTTCTAAATGAAATATACTATGCTGGCAAAAGTCAAGCACAGACAGATGTCAAACATTTCTGGTGATACAGTTAACAGTTACAGCCCTTTGGGAAAGCTAATACTTATCAAGGGCCACACAAATGTTCATAGCATTTGACACAGTAACGCTACTTATGGTGAAGGATGCTAAGAAAATATGGTTTACTTTCAAAAATCTATAGTTAAGAAATATACTCAACATGCATATCCCAAAACATTTTACCAAAAAGCACAATATTACAGACTTTTAATACCCACAACCTTATGCCATTTATCTATTTTCAAAATATACTCCAAATCCAAGAACTCACCATCACCCTAGCCCAATGTGCTTGTGTCTCAAGCAATCTCCTACAATTGCTTTCTAGCAGTTGTTGCTAGTCCCACAGCAACTGGTGATCATATTAAAATTTGCAACTATGTACTTATGTGTAATTATTCAAGTGTATATCCCCTACTTAGCTTTAAACTCCAGGATGGTTCAGCTCGCATCTGTTTTATTCACTACTATGTACCCTGTGTGTCAGTCTCGAACACAGTAGGTATTCAGTAGTTGAACAAATGAATAAACTCTTCCACTGTAAACATATGCAGGCACTATAAAACAGTCTTATAAAAATAAAAACAGCTAGAAGAATCAACCTCCCTGACTTCAAACTATACTACAAAGCTACAGTCATCAAGACAGTATGGTACTGGCACAAAAAAATAAATATGGACCAATGGAACAACATAGAAAGTCCAAAGATAAACCCACGCATATATGGGCACCTTGTCTTTGACAAAGGAGGCAAGAATATACAACGGAAAAAAGACAGTGTCTTCAATAAGTGGTGTAATAAGCTGTCCTGGAAAAACTGGACAGCTACATGTAAAAGAATGAAATTAAGAACACTCCCTAACACCATATACAAATATAAACTCAAAACAGATTAAATGCTTAAATGTAAAGCCCAAAACTATAAGGCTCTTAGAGGAAAACATAGGCAGTACACTCTTTGACATAAATCACAGGAAGATTCTCTT